TAAATTTAACATTAGCTGAAAAACTGGAACACAATAACACATATGTTAAAAACCACCATTAGTACAAACCTTGAAATTCCACAAAAACTGAAACACAACAATACATTAGTTCAAAATATGTTATAATAGCTTAAGAGATCCAAAGCTCAACATCACCTAAACTTCTTAGCATACACAATGCTAAAATAAGAACCACTACAGTCAACATTACACACAAATTAAGTTAAAACTACAATATCAAACTAACATTTTCATGCATGTCCCTTGGAGCATCTTGCTCTTATCCTCAGTATAGAAAAACCAAGTGAAAATAACAATTACATACAACAAAACACAATACACTCTTGATTTCTTCTTCCTTCTTTTTTTTTTCTAATATATATATATATATATATATATATGTATATATGTTCGATTTGTGCTTTCAGAATCTTGATCTCTTCGATCAACTTAACAAACTTAGTAATGTTGACTTGCTTTCTCTCGATTTTCACTTGCATCCTCTTGGTTTCTTTTTTCTTTTCATTCAATTTGGTCAGCAAGTTTGGGATGATTTATTGAGAACGATGAATCAAAGTAGTTACATCTTCCTTCGTACCAACGCCACAAAAATAATAACTTGACATAAAAAGCGAGCAAAGTTTTGAACATTTGGGGAAAATTTTTCTGAACTTACACTCCAGTAACTACAAGAGAAAAATCTTCTTTCACAGTTGGGATGCTTCCATGATGTTCGACTCACAACCCTCTTCCCGTAACAACAATCGACAAATTCATTTGAAAATTTACGGGAAAAATTAGGGATCTTCAACTTATTTAGGTTTTGAAAAGTGATTTGATTTAGGGTTGAAACGTTATTCTCATATTCGAATTCTGCTGATTTAGAACGCTTTGTTTACACGCATGCATCCACGTAGGATAGTTGAATTTTGATAACTTGTAGGTAAATTGATCATTAATTATGAGTTTTAACAAGTTACTGCCATGTTTTGCCAAACAAAAAAAGAAGTTGTCCACATTTGCCACACACCACAATTTACGGGGTATAAATTGCAATTTTTTGCCTTTTTATTAAGAATGTTTAACTAGCCTATCCGCCTAATAGCTAATAGATATATCTCTTTACACGAAACTGCTCACATATCCACCATGAGTACATTAAAATGTGTTTATCACTCATGTGTCTATCAGTCACCGTGAGTACAATATTTTATAATATAAATATACATTTTTATGTAAGAATACTTAACTAGTTTATTCGCCTAATATTTAATAGATAGATCACTTTTATACAAGACTGTTCACCTATTCGCCGTGAGTACATTAAAATGTGTCTAGCAACCATGTGTTTACATTTTACGATCTTTTAACCAAATATCAGTTTTTAATTACCTATCAATGTATAGTTTAAAGTGTGTAACCAGTGATGTTTGAATATTTCTATCTTTCTCTCTTTATCGCAAAAAAGCCCCAAAACCCTCTTTTTGCCCTAGCATCGATATCATCCTCTTCTCCGAGCCTTCCCCCAGCGGGGCACTAGTCGTTCGCGACGGCGTCTGACATCGAGCTGCGCGGTTGACTCGCGATTTAGGGTTGTGCTTGGTCTCTGGGGCGAGGGAAGAGGATGGAGTAACCGAAGGTTTCGGCATTGTCTCAGCTGCCGTCCGGGATTTTGATGTAGCGCAGCTTCGAACAAAAGGGAAATAAGAGATGAAATCTCAAAAATCTGTAATTTTATTCCACGATGACTGCGTTCACGAGAGAAAGGAAGAGAATAAATAATCCCAACATACTAGGTTTTCTAATCACGCTAAACAGGGAAATAACACTTAAACAAATACAAACTAAAATAAAGAAAATAAGGAATAATAATAAAAGCTAAGAAATAACTAATTAAATTAAAGAAGGCATCCGATCATATTTTTGCAGAAACGCCATCGCGATCTCGTCTCCATCATCCTCCCTCGGTTGGGAAGGATTCACCCTCGAATCCGGATCGATCTCGTCTCCGTCCGAATTATCACCCAAGAATGGCACGAGATGCTTAACGTTAAATACTTCAGAAGTCTTCAAATGCGAAGGAAGCCGGAGGCAGTAGGCATCCGGGTTAATTTTCTCAACGATCTCAACTGGGCCAATTTTACGGGCCGACAATTTGTTGTAGTCATATGCCGAGAAATGATCCTTGGTAAGGACGGCCCAAACAAAATCCCCGACATTGAACTCGACGTGGCAGCGACGGGAATCAGCCCGCCGCTTATATCCCGCCGTCACCTCCACCAAACGCGCCCGGGCCGCATCGTGAGTTCGCCGCAAGTCGGCCATGAGGTCCTCGGCACAGCGGTCGGCGCCCGCCGTCGAAGGCAGCGCAATGAGGTCCGCGGCGCCACGTGGTCGGATGGCATACACCACCTCAAAAGGAGAAAACCCGGTTGCCCGGCTCAAGGCCGAATTGTGGGCAAACTCCGCCTGTCCCAACTTTTGATCCCAACTGCGCAGGTTCTCTCCGACAAGACAGCGCAACAGATTGCCAAGGGAGCGATTGACGACCTCCGTCTGACCGTCAGTTTGAGGATGGTACGCACTACTGAACTCTAACTTCGTGTCAGCCAGGCGCCACAAACTACGCTAGAAATAGCTAAGAAAGCGCGTGTCACAGTCAGAAACAATAGAAGTCGGAAGACCATAATTATTTTTATTTTTCCCGAGTACCGAATCAAAAGATTCGTTCCCCGGGTCGGTCTCTCGAGGAAGGCGGTTCGGAATTTAAAATTGGTGTTGATAACACATAAAAGGAAAATAAATCCTACACATTCTAATCAAAGATTGGTTTTTGATTATTACCTAAGAAATAACATAAACATAAATCTACCTAGAAATATAAACGACACAAAAATAAAGAGGCTAGGGAATCGGGGATGATTAATTCAAGTTCGAAACGTGAAGCCGGACAATTAATCGTTCGGTTCAAGATTGATACTCACGCTTAAACATCTAGCGGTTCGCTCCCAATAACTCTTCGTAAAATGGGATTGAACATAGACGAGTAAGTTCGAGCATACAACACCGGCCAATAATCCAATCCCAATAACTCTTCGTAACATGGGAAGGGACATCGACAAGCGTGTACTTCAATCTGGAACCTATAGACAATACGTCTCCGAACATGTCTACCTCGTACGAGCCTAGATCTACGACTTCTCCCCTATCGGTTCCGAAAGACGCTAAATAAATTAGAAGGTGTTTAATCAACTAATCATGTAGAATCAACAAACCCTAACTCAACAAATCAATATCCAATTGTTTCCAATCGCAAGACCGAAGTGTCACCCTTCGGTTATATCAATCAGTCAAGTACAAAATTCATTAATTCCTAATCAATTCAACTCGCAGAAGAACGAACAAATTAAAGCCCAACACTCACGAATTAAACGAGAACAATCATCCCCTATCCCTAGCTATTGAAATTAGCTACGTATTATAAATTCAACACAATCAATCTTATCAATTAAATTCATCATCATCATCATAAACACAATGAAAATAAGAACTTACAATTAATATGAACTTCAAATGTCAAATATTCGTACATACCAAATCCATATGCAAGGAAGAACAAGAGGTCTTTCTTCTACCTTACAAATCGTACCAAAAACAAGATGAAAAACCAAGAAGAAGAAAGAATGGAAGAAGAGAAGAGCAAAGAAAAAAAGATGAAGAAGAAGAAGAGTGAAGAAGAGAGAAGAAGAGAGGAGTAATGGTGAAGAATGGTGTTTTTGGGGGTGAAAAGCCGGTCAAAAGACACTCTCCTCGATCCCATATGCCATGTCCTTTGAAAAGCTCGAGAAAAACGCACTTTTGGCAAAAAAAAGACCCTAGCGCCGCTAAAGGGGGGCCCTAGCGCCGCTAGAGGGTACTTAGCTCCGCTAGGGTGGCCTTAGCGCCGCTAGGGTACATAAGGAGCTGCAGAAGCCCGCTAGCACTCCCTAGCGCCGCTAGCTGGGGCTGGGCTGCATGACTCTGCGTTTCGGGCTCGTTCGAACTCGGAATTGAGTTTCGTTTTTTCCTACGCATCGCTAACGAACCCCTCTGATCAATGATGCTTGAATGGACAAATTATTCTTGAAATCCAATTCTATCAAAGCTTATGACCAACACACCAAAGACGTGCTTCGTGCGACTTCGCGTTTCGGGCCCGTTCGGACTCATCCGACCTCGAAATTGAGCTTCGCTTCTTCCTATATTTTTCCCACGAACCCTTCTATGCAAACATGATCTCCCGGTCGATTTTCAGGCTAAATATATTCCTCACGGGCTTCCGACCTGCAAACCAAAAATGAAGAAAAACCAGAGAAAACACACAAAAAACACAAAGAGAACCAAAATAAGGAAGAACACGCAATAAACTACAGAAAGAACTAAAAATCGACGAAAACATCTAAAACGGAGGAAAAAGAATGACAAAACAACAACGAAAAATGCAACAAAAATGGGACAAACAACCATGCAAACGATACACCTCACGAAAGAAAAGGTGAGCCACATGGACATCATCGGCAGTCCTTTTGCAAGGTATAAAATGGACCATCTTCGAAAAGAGGTCGACGACAACAAAGATAGAGTCATGACCTCGTTGGGTTCGGGGCAGGCCCAAAACGAAATCCATGCTAATAGCACTCTACGAGCGAGAAGGAATAGGCAAGGGTCGATAAAGCCCAGCGTTAGAAGCAACGCCCTTGGATACCTGACAAACCCGGCATCGCCCAACAAAATGAGAAACATCGGGGCGCAAAAAAGGCAAAAAAAAAGAACGATGTACCAACTCAATGGAGCGATCACGCCCCACGTGGCCAACTCTATGCAAATCCGCCACAACTTTCATGCGAAGGCTACAATCAAGAAGACATAACTGGACCCCGCGAAACAAAAAGCCGTCAGAAAGAGTATAATCCTCAAAAGGACCGGAACAGAGGCGCGACACCACGGGCCCAAAGAAATCATCAGAAGCATACAGATCTCGTTAAGTCAAAGCCTACAACCGACACTCGTATGTCAGTGAGAAACAAAGAACGACGGCTCAAAGCATCCGCCACGCGGTCAGAAGCACCCGAGCGATGCTTCAGCACGAAGGTAAATTGCTGCAAATAAGAGGTCCACGTCGCATGGTGGGCAAAAATGTTGTCCTGAGAAGAAAGATGGTGCAAAGCCTTGTGGTCGGTAAAAAGGATGAACTCACGCTGAAAGAGATAGTGACGCCAATATCGAACAGCACGATAAACAACATAGAACTCAACATCATAAGTGCTGTACCTCAAGCGAGGACCAGATAACTTCTCGCTGAAGAAGGCGACGGGCCGTCCATTCTGACTAAGAACTGCACCAATGCCAACCTTAGAAGCATCACACAAAAGCTCGAACGGGATAGAAAAATCGGGAAGAGCCAAAACCGGAGCGGTCGTAAGCTTGCCCTTGATAAGGGCAAACGCTTCTACCGCCTGAGGAGTCCTTACGAATGTCTTGCCGTGAAGACAGCCTGTAATCGGTGCAGTAATGGAGCTGAGTGGGAGATCAAACGACGGTAGAAAGAGGCTAGACCGTGGAAGCTGCGAGCTTCCGTGAAAGAAGTTGGCGTGGGCCACTCGCGAATAGCCGCCACCTTGCCCTCATCAACGCGAATGCTGCCAGACGAAACAACGAAGCCCAAGAAAAAAACCAAATCGACGACAAAAGAACACTTCTGGGGCGCCGCATAAAAGCACTCAGCTCGTAAAATCTAAAGAACCAAACGAACATGAACTAAGTGTTCCTCCACAGTCCAGCTATAGATGAGAATATCGTCGAAATAAACAACGACGCAACGCCCAATAAGGTCCCGTAAAGCTAGTTCATCACCCGCATGAATGTACCGGGCGCATTCGAAAGACCGAAAGGCATCACAAGTCACTCAAAAAGATCCTCACGGATCTTAAAAGCTGTCTTCCATTCATCGCCCGGCCGGATGCGAATCTGATGATAGCCACTTCAGAGGTCCAACTTGGTAAAGACCACAACACCATGTAGCTGGTTCAACAGATCGTCAAGGCGGGGAATGTGGAACCGATAACGAACCGTGGTTTTGTCAATGGCACGACTATCAACACACATACGCCACGAGTTGTCCTTCTTCGGAATGAGCAAGGCTGGAACAGCACACGGGCTCAAGCTACGACGAACAACACCACGTTGCAAGAGTTCCTCCACCTGACGACGCAACTCCTCATGTTCTGCCGAGCTCATACGACAATGTGGACGGTTTGGCAGAGAAGCACCCGGCACTAAATCGATCTGATGTTGTATGTCCCGAAGTGGTGGAAGGCCCGAAGGGAGCTCCTCCAGGAAGACATCAGAAAACTCATCAAGTAAAGGCTGAATAATGGGAGGTGGTGAACCATCAGACCCAATGTCAGTCCCCAGTAGTAAAAGGACAAACGGGGCCGTCTGCATTTCGCCCACAAAAGTTGCACTAGAGAGAAAAAGAACCGACAAAGAATTGTCAATAGATAAAGGGCGAGGGGGTGAAGGATGAAGTACCAGTCGAATGCCCTCAAATAAAAAGCTGTAACGGTCAAACTGCCAAGGACGACCCAACAAGAGATGACACGCATCTATAGGGACAACGTCACACCATGCCGTGTCCCGAAATTTAGGGCCAATCGAGAAATGCACCAATACCCGTCGATCCACAGTAATGGAGCTGCCACGCTGGATCCTTGCCAAAGTGTACGGGTGAGGATGCGGTTCGATTGATAACTTTAGACGATCGACGACATCCTGAGCAACCACATTTTCACAAGAACCGGTGTCGATAATGAAACGACACACCTTCGCCCACTGTACAAGTCGACTCAAAAAGATTATGGCGTTGAAGAGAGTCCTCAGGAGGTGCCCAGGGAGAGAAACACGAACGTCAGAGAACCAACGTCGGGCCCACATCCCCTATCAAATGCTCCTCAAATAGCTCGGGCTCTTCGTAAAAAACTAGCGGGCCCTCATGCACAACTCCATCGAAACCCTCGAAATCAAAATCCGTCACCAAGGCACGTGACCCACTCCGTTGTGGAGAGGCCGACTGCCGATGGCCCGTCTCGCTGCAAGAAAAGCAACGCGGCCCACCACCCAATCGCGACCCGTCATTTGCCTGTGACTGACCAAACCCGACATCCGCATGTGACGACCCACCCGCGGCCGGCAACCCGGACGTCCCTGGTGCGCTGTTACGGCCGAACGACGGCCCACCCGACGCCGTTGAACGCGTTGGAGCAGCCAGTGAGGACACTGGCAGGTAAGTGCGAGGTTGAAAACCGGTTGGCGGAGTTGGACGTCCGTGTTGTTGCTGCTCGATGAGTAAAGCCCGGTGGTGAGCGGCTGCAACACTGTCAGGCGCGAACATATTTAGCATGTCGCGGATGCCGACTCTCAATCCGCCAACATAATGCGCACCAATTGAGTCGGTGTGTCACGTATTTTAACCCGATTGAGAAGGAAATAGAAATCATTGTTATACTCGTCTACGGACCGAGCACCCTGGCGTAAATTATGAAGTTGTTGGTACATAGTGTTGGGTTCGATAGTACAGTACGGGCTGTACGCAGCGGAATTTAAAATTTTTAAAGTAAGTATTTATCGTATAAATACAACACCCGTACATACTAATTGCGAATTAACTGATTGTCATCTTTAAAACATGCATCATATACAAATTTTGATTTGTTACTATAAAGTAAATACTAGTAAAAATATTTACCGAATTTCTTGAACTCCTTCACTATTGATGATGGATGAGGGAATCGGTTCCCGGTTGTAACTTCAACGACTTGAGGTTACTCGCTAGAGGAATCCAAGTGTCTTCCCTCTAAACGTATCCACCCTATGAAGCCCGGTTCCGACGACTTTCCTTCGCTAGTAGAAAAGACTCGGTTTTCTTGTATAGGAATATTTATGAATTTTATTTGGGAATTTTAAGAACTCTTTCTTGAAGTTTTATGAAGAACACTTTCTTCTCTTTCTAACACTTAGAAATTTAGGATCAAAAACTTCACTTAAATGCAAAACCATTTTGCATATATTTATACTAAACATTTTAGCATAAAATAATCAACATTTAGTAATATTAAATAAAATCAAATTTTATTTAAATAGTATTTACTAACTTTTGACTTTGAAAATAATAAGATATGTTAAGTAGTTCAAACAACCATCAACAACCATTTTATTATAATCATATTTATTATTTTAATCCTTAAATCATATTTAAAGATATAAATAATAATTGGATAATAAATCTTGAGAATCTTTCTCAAGACTTTATTATTATATCATTTTCCCAATATTATAATAATCATATTATTATTATTTTGGATTTTTGAAATTTAAAATCCTATTTTAAAATTCAACTTTATTAATTTAGTAATTACCTTAATTACTAAAGTAATATCCAAAATGTAATTAATCAATCTTATTGATTAATATATTCCTTTAATTGATATCTAATCAAATTAGATATTTATCAATTAATTCTAACCATTAGAAATACAATCTTTACCTTTGTTCATAATTAGTGTGACCTTTTAGGTTCACCTTAATACTAGTAGTGGGTTTACAACACTTTGTAATTTGAGTTAAATCTTATTAACTCTTATTCATGAATTAACCCTTTAATTTATGAACCCACATATCATGGTAACACCTAGCAAGTAGCATGAATCTAGTATTAAGTGAATAGCGAGTAAACCTATTCCGATTACAACTCCATACATGTAAAATCCTTTCGACATCTAATTTCCCGATTAAGTCTTGGGTATGATTTTGTCGAAACCCAAATTGACTTAATAACTATGATTCTATTTCATGTTTATTAACCCGGTTATGAATCACTATTCATCTCTGCCTTGGCCAAGGACTTTGGATTAATAACTATGAAACACATAGGAAATTCACTTATCTTCATAAGTGTCGAATCCTTTATTGGCCACTAACAAACTTCCATACATATCAACATAATACCCAACTTATCCCTTTAAACGATAGTGCTAGCTACCAAAAGGATAAATCAAAGTAGAATGTAATATGCACAAAGTTACCATTGTGCCTCAAGTCTTAGGATTAGTCATGTACTATTGTAACATGAAAATTCTTATTCGACTGAATAAATTCTTCATTAAGAATTTTCATACGGTCATGTTCAGTGAACTTGTTCTCTAACAAGCACCCACATAAATGTACTTACGTCTTACGCTAATGTTGATGGAATGCAACATTCTTGTCCAACAAGCATACAAACTATGTGCAAGTCTTTTATGGATTATTCGATATCCCATCTCGAAACATCCATCGACTTGGAACTGTATTTAAGATCACGGCTTTCAAGGTATGTTCCATGATCACCATCTCTATGCGCAACCATACCTTATAACCATAAGTGATCTAGGGATTTTATCTTAAGTGCAATTATAAGATAAATGCTTTCTCTTAAGATAAAGAAATGCCTTATTCATAATATAATTCCAATAGACTGTATTTACAAGTAGAATACGTCCAATTAGATTGGAACGCCGGGTACCCTACTCTAACACATAGTACTCACATAATTGAAGGGAAGGAATTCCCGCTCGATGTGCTTCCGGAATTTGTCCCACGACTTCATTTTAGGTTTTCCCATCTGTCGTCGTGAATCCGTAAGGTGCAGCCACCAAGCGATCGCACTCCCGCGCAGTCGAGTAGCGACAAGACCCACTCGATTACTGTCCGGTACCTCCTTGTAATCCAACACCGACTCGACCGAGCCCAGCCAATCAAGAAAATCAGCCCCGTCGAGTCCGCCGGCAAATTCAAGAATCTTTACGCGAAAGGCCGCCTCCCATCGCCGTTCACCGGTTGGTGCGCTCTCATTCCGTGGCTCCGCCGTTCCGAACGGATTGTATCCTTCTCCGTGGCATCAGAGTCGTCGCCACCCTCCTCCTTGCACGACGCTCGCTGTCTGCCACCACCACATGGCGGACATGACCCCCGCGGCCACCACGCATCCCCCCGCGACCGCCGCCTCTGCCATCGAGCCCGTCGCGGTTCATGCCGTCGCATTGCACGATCGTTTGGAGAGCCAGCTTGATGTCCTACATGCCCTCCGTCAGACCCGCCAACTCACGATCGATCACCTGAAATTGCTGGCCAAAACCCTCGTTTTGGCGAGTGAGAGAGGCAATCGCAGCATCTCGTCTGTCGTCTGCGAAATCGTTCCTCTTGGGTGGCATCGTGGATCGTAGTTGAGTCTGATTACCAACTGATGTAGTGCAACTTCGAACAAAAGGGAAACATGAGATGAAATCTAAAAAATCTGTAATTTTATTCAACGATGACTGTGTTCACGAGAGAAAGGAAGAGAATAAATAATCCCAACATACTAGGTTTCCTAATCGCGCTAAACAAGGAAATAACACTTAAACAAATACCAACTAAAATAAAGAAAATAAGAAATAATAATAAAACCCAGGAAATAACTAATTAAATTAAAGAAGGCATCCGATCATATTTTTGCAGAAACGCCATCGCGATCTCGTCTCCATCAGGTTTGGTGTCATCGGACTCCTATTTTCGCGTCGGGGACCGACAGTGGCGTTATTTGGGGAGTGGTTGCGGCTTTGACCGCCGATGTTGGTGGTCCGGGTGGAGGCTCTGTCTTGTGCCTCTTTCCCCTGGTATTTGGGGAAGGGGTGACTGGCGTCCTCTGTTCTTGGTCGTGGTGTGGACAAGCTTTGGACGGCGGTGGTGTGGGGGGAGTTGGGTAGAAAATTCTCCGGCTTCGGGGTCGGGGTCAGGGTTGACCACCTGGATGCTGGTCCAGGCTCAAGGGTTGTGTTTCGAATTAGGCTTGGGTTTGGCAGTTTTTGGATTGGCGGCTCGAGTCTTGGTCTGGTCATTTGGGTGGTTGGCTATCGTCGTGTGACCGTGGGCATGTGTGTCGGCTGGGGGAACGGCATGATTCTAGTCTGTCTTGTTTTAGTAATTTTTATTTAGTTTGTTAGTGTGTGTGTTTTGTGGTTTTTTAATTTTGGTTGTGTTTTAGTTTCTTCTCTCCCGTTGAGAGTGTGTTCGGTGTATTCTTCTGTTGGGAGTTTTTGGTTTCTTCTCCTTTTGGGAGTTTTTTGTTTTGTTTGTGTTATAGGTGGCTCTAGGTTGTCGTCAGTGTATACGTGTAGTTCTCTTTACTTGAGTCAGCTGTTCAGCTTATTCGACCGATGGCTGTTTATTCGGCTAAGTAGTTGTTCTCTATTCTCGATTTGTTGTGGATATAAGTATTTCCTATCGTTCCGATAAAAAAAAAAAATTAATATCAATGTATGATATTCTAATATCCTACATATCTGATGAATGAATATATTAATAGATGTCCATAATGTAACTTCACTAATACGTCTTTCTGAGAAACAAATGGAAATAGAAGGGCACTTCTGAAAATTCGCAATAAGATGCCCATCACAAAATGGTTCAATTTATCCGGTTAGGTGGACCGCTTGGATTCTTGTTAGTAATAAAGCGGAATGACGAATGTAAGACGCAGTAAAAATGACAATCTTAAAAAACTTGTCCACTGTAAAAAAAAAAACGTAAAAAACAGCCAATTGAGTCTTTAGACCCCAAAACCACTCACCACTACAAAGCACACTCCGCAGGTCTTTTTAACCTCTCACCATCACTTTCCCCATTTCCTCTGTTCAATTTTTCAATTTTTTCTCACTAAATAAAACAGAGGAAATCCCCAAAACCCAGACAAAAATCAAGAAATTACAATAAAAGCCCACCGAAAAAGCAGCAAGAACGCAGCCCACCGAAAATGAAAGGTACAGAGCAAGAGAGATTCTTCACAGGTACTGCTATTTGACTTGCCCTGTTCTTCGCCGCCGTTAAAGTTGCTACCTTTAGTAGCCCATTTAGATCTCGCATGCATACACAAATGTTCCGTAATTTCTCGCCCGTATGTTTGTGCAGATGGGTACCCGTGATTTTCTGAGGTGTTTTTTTTGTACTTGCTCTGCCTCACTGAACTAATGGCTGCCGAGGTAAGCGGCGTTGGGAATGTCGAGGTCCCCCCGTGGCTCAAATCCATGCCGGTGGCGCCGGAGTACCACCCGACCCTGGCCGAGTTTCAAGATCCGATTGCCTACATTTTCAAGATTGAGAAGGAGGCCGCCAAGTACGGCATATGCAAGATTGTCCCGCCGGTCTCCGCAGCTCCCCGCAAAACCGTGGTGTCTAATTTCAACAAATCCCTTCTGGCGCGGTCACCTGACTCGGGCTCCGGCCCGACCTTCACCACTCGTCAACAGCAGATCGGGTTCTGCCCGAGAAAACACCGACCCGTGCAGAAGCCCGTGTGGCAGAGTGGGGAGAGGTACACCCTCGCCCAATTCGAGGCCAAGGCCAAGAATTTCGAGAGGACTTATCTCAAGAAGTATCCGAAAAAGGGCCCGAATGCCCTAGAGATGGAGGCCCTCTACTGGAATGCCATGGCAGACAAACCCTTTCGTGTGGAGTACGCGAATGACATGCCGGGGTCCGCCTTTGTGGCTCAGAAAGCTGGCGGGAAGAGAAACGAGAGTGCGATGATGGTGGGAGAGACCGAGTGGAATATGAGGGGGGTTTCGAGGGATAGTTTGTCTTTGCTGAGGTTTATGAAGGAGGAAATACCGGGAGTGACGTCTCCTATGGTTTATGTGGCCATGATGTTTAGCTGGTTCGCGTGGCACGTGGAGGATCACGATTTGCACAGCATGAACTATTTGCATATGGGAGCGGGAAAGACGTGGTACGGTGTGCCACGAGAGGCGGCTGTGGCTTTCGAGGAGGTAGTTAGGGAGCATGGGTATGGTGGAGAGGTCAATCCTCTAGGTGAGATATATATATATATATATATTTTCGGATATGCTTTAGTATATTGATTTGTTCATTGAATGATGCATGTGGTGTGAGTTTTATGGAAAATGAGGTAAATATTTGGTGAATATGTGTGGATATTAAATGTTGGAAAAATTTAGATGGTGAAATTGGGGAAAGTCGTAAGCTTTACGACTTTAATGTGCGAAAAAAGGGGGTACATCTGCAAGCATGATCGTGTGCCCACGTATGCTTTTGATGTTTACTTTGTGACCTACATTATGCTATAAGCTAGCATATATATTATGCTGACGACCGGGATATGAATGTGTGTTGCGATTCTAGGGAATCTGCATGTCACTCTCTGGTTGGTGTTCAAATGGTAGGTTATTAATTTATATATACTCTTCTCATGTTATTCCCGTGTAAAACTGTGTCGTTTTGCCCGCAGATAGAAAGGAGATGACTTTATAGTCAACATACTCGAATATTGTGTCGCTTAGTATGTACGTAAATTTGATTCTTAATAACTACGTAAATTATGTATAACTCTTGTTATTAATTGATCACGATCCGGCAAAGCAAGATGCATTTAATTATATACCCAATTTGCTCATCCTAACACATGGTTACTGAGCCACTATGCTTACAATGAGCTAACCGTTTTTTTCCTTATTAGTTAAAGCACACGTGAACTAAATGATCTGATATCTCTAAAAATAGGAATCTAGGAAATTTCTTCAGGAGCCATGCTTCAGATGTCATATTGGCAAATTATAAATATTTTACCATGGGTGACAATTATTCCATCACATTCTTACTCTGTTGGGGGCAGCCAATGAGGTTCTTCATTAGCTGCTGTTTTCCCAAAAGGAAGCAGCTTGGTGGCTGCCTAATACACTTTGTTCAGCTTATTGACCAGATCTAAAATCATCGTTTCAGTTCTTCATCCCTCTTTGTTTTCGTAATTGAATTGCAGTTGAACTCAAACATCCCCATGGGAGTGGTGAGGGGAGACCCCCAATTGGTTAACGAAAGATTATTCTTTCGTTTTATCTATTTACCTATAAAAGATCGTCAGTCGGTGCTTTAATGTGTTGGATAAGTTCCGCAATGAGATACGAACAAATGGATTTTATCGACTTTGAAAGTGGAAAATGTCATGTTCTGCATCTAGAGAAGAAATAAAATCTCGGTTCTTCTTCTGGGACAACAGCAATTCCTCTGTTCTATTATGTTCTCTGTTTTTCATAATTTGTTTCAAAGAGGCAGTAGCTGTTCTATTTTGTTCTTTGTTCAACCTCTGAACAGAATTATGATTTTCAAAATACTTATTCCTCTTTTCTTTCTCCAAGGAGTTCT